CCTACTATCAAATAGGGTATGTGACAAAAAACGTAGAATCCATCTAAATATGCCAAGCCAAAATCCCGCATTGTAGTGATAAGTATAGAGATGATGTTATTTCCGCACTAATACTTTATTTACCCTTACCGGTGCAGACATCCTCGGAAGGGTAGATATAGGATATCTAGCATTACCGGCACTCTGTGCCTACAAATACTATCAACACTACCAATACAAGTAGTATTGAAAAGTCCAGCGTGGTGAGTATGCAATTTAAAAAAAAAGTCATCTGGCTTATTAATAACGACTATAATAGACAAAAAGGGAGATCTATTTTAACTTAATTAGCTACTTCTAATATATTTCTTGTATAGAAATTAAAAGAGGGTAAAAATTTTGTACTTATTCTATAAGAAATAGTTTTTGTTTCTACTGTTAACTTTAGTAAAACTCTATTGGTTTTTTTTTTATAGAATAAGATAAGAATAAGAGCGATAAACAAGCACACAGTCCACCTGATGGTAAGTGGTTGCTGTGGCCCATAGACATCTACATCTATCCTCGATTACGAATCAAAATGCAGATACGTTGTCACCCGTGAGGACTAAGATGGAATGCCTCGTTTCTAATGAAAAAGGGTCTCCGGTTCTCTACACTCACCATACGAAACACAGCAGCGTTATGCTGTGAAAACATGGTCCTTCCACGGTCGCGCCGACTCATTCGTGCTACAATTATACTACTAATATAGCTGCAGCATGGCTCTACCACGTATAAAAACTAATGGACTTGCGACTATTACGAAGCCACTGATTGCATACTGATTGATAGCAATACCTACAGGTCCAGGGCCTCAGAGAATCTTAGCTGAAGCAAATATATATAATATACTTGTTCCGTTTAGGAATCGGACCTTCGACCAGCTATGCTGTAACCAAACATTCTACTGCAACGAAAGGATGAATAGACGATATCTGCTACATCGTGTAGTCTATATACGAGTACAAATAACTTATGTTTCGTTTTCTTACATAGTAAAAAATAAGAAAACAATCAAAATCAGTTGACTTTTATATACAAAAAACTGTAGTATAATCTGATCCTTCAAAATAATGGCGGATTTTCGTAGGATAGATAATGCATGACAAAAAAAACATAAAATCATAGCAGCCGGTATCGACTGCGCCTATTCCGAATGAATCCGGAAGTCAACAAAGGGACGTTTCACGTTCTGTATTTGAAAAAAGCGCGCGAATGCGAACGTGAGTTCGCCATTAGCCGCTCCCATTTGCAGTGCATCTATAGCGGCAGGCCTCTTCAATCTGTACAGTCAACAATTGCAGGGGTGTCAATGTATTTATGCGGCAAAGGGAAATAATGTTTTGCGATTTTGCAGGCTCGATCTTTTTGTTTGAGAGTTGAAAATTTAACAAGTGGAATCTTGCTTGAAATATTTCATTTAATAGTTGAGTCAATTTATGAACTACAAACAGTTGTATATTTAGTTTATTATTTGGTAGTTACTGCACAATATTTTCTAGTTTAAATGGTACTGAAATTATATCACACTTATTTTAAGTATTTTTAGTTGTACTGCAATTAATATAAATACTATATATATAAAGATAAATAAATTAGCTATACTCAGCACATTAATGGTTATATTTAATTCAAACAATTTAAGTCGATCCTAAATTGTCGGAATGAAATGTTATACGATGAATATTGAATCCAGAGAATAAGCACTTCAATAATGAAACATTTTCTTTTAAATATATATTATTAAAACAGGTTTATTTATAAAAGTATAGGTAGAAAATTTGCACCGCAAATTATCTACGATTACCGTATAATAATAAGTTTCCAGTATCAAATATATCGTATTGAGGTAAATAATCATTAGAAGTGATAATATAGCCTTTCTCCACAAGCGTTAGTTGTTTTTAGTGCTGCAGCATGGCTCTACCACGTACAAAAGTAAAACACAAAAGCAGTAACAACTTACAAAAGTAATGACTAACTAATACAAGTAGCGGAAGTAAAAATAAATGTTACTACGACCTTTCTTATTTAATAAAAGGTGTTCTAGGCTTTTTTGTTCATTTGAGTACAGAGTACAGACCATGAAAGAAAACCAACATTTTTAAAATAAAACAAAGTCTAATAAATGTAATTACTGAGTATATTCAAATATTCTCATCTTTCTACAATGACTTATTAATTCGTACGAGGTTATGTTATCATTATCTTTATTTGTATAGGGTTATGTCTTGTTATCAATATTATATATGATAATTAATGAAACTCGTAAGAAATAAAAAAAAATATTCACTTAAATGGACAGCCCTGCAACAGAGGGCATGTGATCGAGTGTTGTTCGAGTTTTTATCGCTGATTCATTAGTATGAGAGTGTCTTTGTTGCAGACTGGCGGCTCCCTAGCGCAGCCTATACTACGCGCCGTATTCAACGTGAAAATTGATTTGAGATGAAAGGCTTTCAGTCCATTGTGCCGCGCCAGTCAAATTAAAGACAAATTGCACGTCCAATATACAAACAGTGTTTTATTTCCAATCGGGCGTCTGGATAATTATATTCGTTTGTGTCCAAATTATTTTCGTTTCGTTATGACTGCTGCGGTCATTTTAATTATTCGCTTTATATAGGTAATTAACTTCCTCCTATATTAATATTGTATTATAAATGTAAACATGTGTATGGATGTTTGGATTTTTGGATGCTTGTTACTCAATCACACAAAAACGCTAAATGATTTTCATGAAACTTGGCAAAATATTATAAGATCACAAACCAGAATATAAGCTACATACTATATATGCTACATTTTAGTAAAAAGTTGGAATCTACTCATTTTTAATCTATTGTGCTAAAATTCACCGATAAAATTTCATTTCTTGCCGTGCGCTGCGTTAACTATTGTACATACAACTATATAATATACTAACGAATTGAACTTTTTATCAATATATTATACATAAAAGTCCTATCTTCCTATATCAATCATAGATGAGTCACAATAGATGTGTTTTGTTAAAAAGAAATATATAACTTTTATGATTAATAAGAAATGTTTTGGTAGTAGAGCGTTCTGCAACTTTTAGTTAAAATAATGTCAGTAACAACCTCTATGTGTATTGTGACTAATCTATGTATGATAGATACATATACTTATAACGGGGATTTTTAAAGATATTGGAATGAAGTCCAATTTTTTAGTACATTTTATAATTTTGTCTATTATAGTAATAATTTATATTGACATGCGCTGCGTTACTTATTTAGTTAGTGTCTAAAGTCACGGAATAAATAACTGCTACAGTGTACGCCAAAATGTTTAATTATATTGATGAATTTTAAGCTCCGATTTAACAAATTGTAATTTCGGAGAGACAAACATTTTTTACAAAAAAATATAGTCCACGTCCCGCTGTGCGTTATAATATTGATAACTTTCATAAAATCCGTTCAGTAGTTTTTGCGTGATTGGGTAACAAAACATCCAAACATCCATACAAACTTTTGCATATATAATATTAGTAAGATAGGATACGACTCGTAGGATAATCGTTGGGGCGTCTCTTAGAGATCACGTTACTTTCTGAACAACTTGACCGATAAATGTTCATATTTACTTATATTTTTTTGTTGATATGATGGTTCATATATGCTAGGATCCGATAGATGGTGCTGTAGCTAAATTATTAACAAATTTGGTATATATGGACCAAAATTACTCATGTTCACATTGTACGTTAAATTTATAGCAGATTCATAAAATAATGGACCCGATAGGTGTTGTCGAGTTATTAATAAAAAACACGTTGGCCGCTTCAGCTCATAATTTAATAACTAAAAAATATTGTCACCACTTATTCTAAAAATATAATATGTCCCTGCACTATTTTGCCATTAAAGATGAATATAATATGTTTTTGTGTGAGTTTGTGTGTGTATGTATATAATATACATATATACAATGTACCTGACCAACCAACGAAAATAAACATTAGATATACTTACATTGAAGTCTACTTCTTCAGTTATCTTGCTTAGAAGGTAACTGGTTGAGTACAAAAAATAAAAACGTACAAAAGACAAAATCAAATTTAAAGACAGAATGTAAGCGAGTACTCTCTAAACTCCGTCGAGAGTAAAGTGGACTTTTTCGAACCGAACCGGTGCGAAACAAACCTAATTTACAGAAAGGGTAAACAAAATTCTGCGCAAGATGGAAATTAGAATTCCAAAGAAGTCACTTCTTTCTTCGTTGAATTTTGTTTGGTAAGAATCGAATTTTAATTAGTCTTTTACTCCTTTTCTGAGTCACAATGCTAATTATGGTATGTATAGGTACCTATGTTTTAATGAAAATTCAATCCATCCTAATAATATATTTTATCTCAAATACTTGAATATATATATATTAGGTAAGATGAAGAACCTTAGATGATAATATAGTAGGATGTAAATTAGAAAATACCTATAACAGTTGCGAATTTCCTATATGAAAATCTTATGAACATTACCGAAGAAAAATTAGAAGGAAAGCGAAATAAAGGTTTAGGAATGCAGGATTGCCTACTCCTAGGTAATCGCTAACTAATAAGAGCGCAGCGCAGCTGAAAATCAGGTGTAGAATGATGACAACATACGATCAGTAGTAGGCCTAGGAACTATTAAGATGTATCTAAAAAAAAACCGGATTATCACAATTATGCAAGAATACATTAAACGGAATGATTTTCCCGATAAGTGTTAATTTCAGGAGTCAACCATGAAATTCTATTTATTTGTTTTTATTTAATTTTTATTTATATATATTTATGAATAATTTTATCTAAAGTTGCTAAAGCTTAATTAAGATAATCATTGCAATGACTTTAAATGCCGAATAAACTGCATACACTATAGTATATTACCTAGGTAAAAACATGAAATTAAGCAAAATTCAATCAACGTAATAATTTCAACAGTGCAGTTTTAAACTATATATCGTACCTTTGCATGTTCTTGTTGCGCTAACAGTTGTTCTCTGACCATCTGTAGTTGCAGGATCATTTCTGATAGCTGCCGCTCCTTCTCTAATACACTCTCGCCAGCCAGGGCTTGTAAAGCTGCCGCATCCAACACGCCCCGTCGCTCACTATTGGAAAAACAAAAATATTTATGTAAAGTGAGTGTTTAAAAAATCAAAAAATAATTAGGAAAGTTTATAATTAGATATTTATTTTCACGTAATAATTATTTATTGCTAAAATATTTTCAGAATTATTTTCATGCATTACCTGGAATATGAAGGGCATTTCATTGGTTTCGATATATTAACTGAGACGGATCATACACTGGATGTCTCTTTTTCTATGAACACGTGTCGTACACTAATTGGGGTTTAGTTGATTGGGCTGAATAGAAGCAATAGCAAAGCAATAGTTAACGGCGTGTATTGGGTTCGAATGGAAGAACGCGGTAAAGTGGGATTGATCTATGTAATTGTATGATACGATTTTGCATAGCGGATGTCTGAAAGACTGAATTTTGTTCAGATTTTTTGATAACGCATACACGGAATTGATTAAAAGCACCCTTTTTTATAGGATAGGGTGACAAACGAGCACACAGTCCACCTGATGGTAAGTGGTTGCTGTGCCCCATAGACACCTACATCAAAATGCAGATGCGTTCTCAGCCGTGAGGACTAAGTTGGAATGCGTCTTTTCCAGTAAAAAGGGTCTCCGGTTCTCTACACTCACCATACGCAACACAGCAGCATGAAGCTGCTATTTTACGCTGGTATTCTGTGAGAGCCTTTAAACCCTTTAAATCATTTTCGTACATCATTTAGGTTGAACAAATACGAAATATGGTAGCAATGGTTTGAACGGTGTGTTTGTAATTAAAAGCAAGCTTGGGTAAACTAGAACCTTTTCATTCTGTGAAATAAAGTTGCGTAAATGTAAATGTAAAAAGGAACGTTTCAAAATAATTTCTATATGTGGTAAAAATTAAATAAAATCTAAGATGATTTCCTTTAAGCTAATTTTGATAAACGTAAGATTTCAATAAAAGTATTGTTAGTTTTTTTTTTACTTTTTTATCAGTGAAGACCAACGTCATTTTTTAAAATTAACCTCCGTTGTAAGAGACACAATGGGTAAAAAAAATGAAAATATATAGTGAAATTGTAAAGTCAAATTATAATGCGCAAAGTTCACAAACTCTTGTCAATAATTCATGAAGACCCCGTTACGCGGCGACGGAGAACATGTTGTAAACCAACAAAGGAAGATATTACAGAATGGAACCCTATGTCTAGCCGTAGATAATACGATACTTCCCTGCATAAACCCACCCTAATATTTTTTTACGTAAATTTATAAAGATACTTACGATACATCTAACATTTATATTTATTAATGAAATTCATCGCATTATTTTTAACATCTTTTAATAAGTGGACATGATATACACAAGCGGACAAACAATAACAGTTTAACAGTTTAACAATAACAGTAACACGCGGCAGCTTTTGCTGTCGCACGGATGGGCCGGCTCGAACCGGGGTAGTACCACGACCTCACAGAAAACCAGCGTGAAGTAGAGGTTTACCTCTGCGTTTCTCTTGGTGAGTGCAGGTGGCCGGAGGCCCTTTTTACTGAAAATGAGGCATTCCATCTTAGCCCTCACGGGTGACAACGCATCTACATTTTGATTTGTAAGAGGATAGATGTAGATGTCTATGGCCCGCAGCAACCACTTATCATCAGGTGGACTGTGTGCTCGTTTGTCACCCTTATCCTATAAAAAAAACAATAATAGTGATTACAGACTCTTTTAATTTTTTTATAGGATAAGGGTGACAAGCGAGCACACAGTCCACCTGATGGTAGGTGGATATCTACCTACATCTATCCTCGTTTGTGAATAAAATGCAGATGATTGATGACTAAGATGAAATACGTCTTTTGCAGTAAAAAGGGTCTCCGGATCTCTACACTCACCATACGAAACACATCAGCATTAAGCTGCTATTTTACGCTGGTATTCTGTGAGAGCGTGGTCCTTCCCCGGTCGAGCCGACCCATTCGTACTACAACGATATTACTAATATAATACTGTGTTCTCGTCAAGATTCCAGTTACCACCAACAGAAAAGTTGAAAAATCTAGTTTTTGATTGTTCTTTTGACTAATAGTCTCCAAAATCTATGCAATAAAAATTTGATAGAAACTTAAATATAAACAGTTTATTTCGACCTGCATTAAAACAAGGATTAAATTTTAAGGAATTTGGCAATGTTTTTATTGATGGTTTGTTTAAATATTTAGCTAGTGAAGATTAAGTATAGTAGAAAAAAATAAAATATTCGCTAATCACATACGTCATATTATGTTTCATCACTATCATTATCATTACAGTCTATCAAAAGTTTAGTGTTGAACAACGGTCCCCCACATATATTGCCTCATAGGGCGCATATTTGCCATAATTGTTACGCTTGGTAGGCGGGTTGGCAACCTGCTGGAAGAAATAAAAAAATTTCTACCGACTTCAAAAAGGAGGAGGTATTAAATTTGACTGTATGTTTTTTTTATGTTACATGATAACTTTTTTCTAGGTAAACCGATTTCGATGTTCCTTTTTTTATTTGAAAGCTGGTGATTCTCATGTGGTTCCGTATAAATTTGATCAAGGTCTGACCAATAGTTTTTGAGTTATTAAAATAATAGAAAAAATCAAGAGATTACCATTACAATCTGGTCTTATTTAAATTCGTTTAAATTTTACCATAGACTATCGAGGAGTTCGATACTCGCCGACACAGCTGCAATTGTTTTTTGATATTTTATGTGCTGTTTTACCATGTAGAAAATAATCAACTGCATGAGTTTGTCAAATAAAAAAGGCCGCGTGGTAAACTCATCCCTGTTCCAAACCCTGCCAGAAGTTAGAAGATGGATGTATGAAGGTAGTTACTTTACGTGTATACCACAGATAAAATCAAAATTTAATTTCAAGGTATAAGCATCTAGTTATACGTTATGAGGTATTGCCGCTGTCTCGTAGTAGTTTCTGCGGTGTCGGTGCCACAAACAAATGCAACGGAAGCGGAACTGAATTATTAATGCAACGTCCGGACTTCAGAGTTGGTCGTTGCTTCCAAGACGATGTCATATGAGTTATCTCTTGCTATTTCCTTCGCTATACAGAACGTCTTATCATTTACAAGATGTTGCTCCACGTACACTACGTTATATATTAATAGAAAATGGAATAGCGAATAAATGTTTTTCAATTAATTTTTTATTTTCAATTTTCATTTATTGGTAGACAACCTTATCGAAGTTATATTCACTGATGTATAGAACTATTTATATATAACTAAACTTTATTTATTTACTGTGTTGGTGTGTAGATATGTAATTATATCTAGCATTGAAATATAAGTATCTATGCAATTCAAGAAAGAGACGCTCGTATGTTATAAAAACTTCTGCCACCTCTTAAGATACCCAAGGGACGATATGGGTTAGTGGATATTCTTACACCACCACTACGTGGTCAAGTAAAAATCGAGTGTGTGCATGATTTGTATTTGGGACAAATACTGACAGAATTAAATGTAATATATGCAAAATGTAATGTATCCAGATCGCAGTGGAGATTCGCGTCACCTAGTACGACAATATTTGCTAATTATGCGGATTAGTTTATAAGAGTGGTGATTATGGAAAAATCGACTGATTACGATCCTGTGTAAGTAACACAAAGAGTGGGATTTTTTATATAGAACGACATAATATAGAATTTTTTTAAATAGAATATGGGTGATGAACGAGCACACAGTCCACCTGATCGTAAGTGGTTGCTGTGACCCATAGACATCTCGATTAAGAATCAAATGCAGATCAAAGAAAGTTTTCTACACTTACCATACGAAACACAACAGCATTAAGCTGCTATTTTATACTGATATTCTGTGAGAGCGTGGTCCTACCCCGGTCAAACCGACCCATTCGTGCTACAACCATAATACGAGTATAGCTGCAGCGTGGCTCTACCACGTATAAAAATTATTACAATCAAAAATATATTTTTAAATTGTACCTATTATAATGTTGTAAATATCAGATTGAATTTTTTTTAAAATCGAAGAAAATGATCTTTCAAAGCTACTTTCATATTTTATTCCACTTTAAACCATGACAAAAGCAACAATTCGTGATCTGCTTTCACTTGTCAATGTAAAGGGCGCATATGGACCAGTTCTGAAGCAAACATAATGAGGGCTAATTAAAAGAAAGGTTTTTTGCGACGCGTTTGGTTTATGCCTTCATTATTATTTTCAAGTTGTTATTTAAGTTCCAAACGGACCTCTCGAAATTAATTAATGTAATGTAAAAGAAGAAAAAAATCTATTGGAAATAAGACGTTTAAGTGTCGCTTTTATCATAATATATCTGCGACGCCTTATGATGTAAATATTATTATTGAATTATGAAACTGGGATCTGGTTCTTTAGTGTTTGCCGCATGAGGAAGCTTAAGTTCGATGAGCGAGCTATGGAAAATACTATGCTTAGAGTTTCTCTGTGTGGGAGAATTCATAACGATACTATGCGCAGTAGAACCGAAGTAACCGACATAGCACAATGGATCAGTAAGTTGAAGTGGCAATGAGTAGACCATACAAGAAAAATACAGTAGTAGCTTCGTATTACTAAGCGAATGCAGGGCGGCCGCCTTATTATATTACGTAGAGTAACGAACTGAAGTTGATGGATACAGGACCATGTTTTATGGCATTCTTTGAGAGACGTCTATCGAGCAGTAGACTTGCGAAGGGCTGTTATGACGATGATGGAGTGTCTCGTAATTACTGTTACATATAAGGGGATTACGTGCATTTCTAATTGATTGACTGATTTTCTAAATGCCCATGTTTTACATAAGAGGGGGCAAACGACAATGCGGCTCACCTGATGGTGAGTGAGTACAATGAACAACTGCAACAACAAGGGAATTGCAAGTGCGTTGCCGGCCTGTGAAAAAATAATAGTAACTTAATTTTCTTGAAGATCCCTAAGTCGTAGGTCTCTTACATACACACGACCAACTTATGGTTGGAATTTTAACGTAAATCATT